GGGGGGGCGCGGGGACTCCTGGCCTCACTGGCTCACCGCAGGACTCTTCTTGTCTTGTTGCTGTTGACTGGCATCCTGCGTCCCCTGTACACCCGTCGCTGCGCCGCCTTGTCCACCTTGTACTCCCTGGAACAGGTACGCGACGACGACGCTTCAGTATCGAGATCGGCCTGCGCGTATCCTGCTCGGACATTGATCAGACACTGGAACAGTAACTACCTGAGTACCGGGTCCTCCCTGTGGCGGGCCGGGACCGCGGTCTGGGGGCCAAGAGTTGCCCGGTGTCGGTTCCGAATGGAACTGGTGAGGATGAGGCGGTGGTCCACCCTGAGTGTCGTGACTGTGCGGATCCAGGCTGTTCGCCGCGTCGTACTGCGTGTTCTCCAGCCTCGTTATTAACCGCTCGTCCTCGTCGCCGAAGTCGCCACCCATCAACGACGGCTCACCGACCACCATCACGTCCTGAACGGAAACGTCGTTAAATTAGTCGCACCGATCGGCACTTTTATCGTATACGCGAGTTGTCGCAGACTCACCTGCGACGCCAGAGAAAAATTAGGACCCGGCGATCTCTTCTTGCTGGGTGCCGGTGGCGCGTTGTTTCCCGGCCCCGAGGTGCTACCCTTTCGCTTTCTTCGTTTACTAGCCGGCCTCTGGGATTCTGAAAGAACAGGTCCCGGATCAGGTTGTTAGATCGTACAGGAGGACGCTAGCCATGTAGCAGCGCGCTAAGAAACTTCAGACCGCTACCCAGCTTTGGACCTTTATTCGCGTCAAAGGTCTCTGACACACAGAAGCATGCATGCATCGGTGGACGGACAGACGGACAGATGTCTCGCGTCTGCGTCGTCTTTTTCTCCAACGAAAGCTACTCAAAAGAAGTCAGCACTCACGTCGAAGTGTGTCTTTACAGAGAAACACGCATTGCATCGAAACGATCCGATATATACTCGCTAACGCTCTCGGTTCCATGATTTCGTCGACCTTGAAGAGGGCAGGGTGCACAGGATAATCGAGGGGAATCGTGGCTAAAGAGGAACAGGAAACGCGGTGCACGCATACGCATGATAAAAATGCTCGATAAGTGTTCGAGAAGAGGCGCTTTACGCGTCGAAGACGCACGCAACGCGAGCAAACGGATCGAGGAAACATCGGAAACCACTCTGTTATCTACCGGCAACCATCGACCGTGAGACTCGAAGCTGCTCGATTCCGCGGAAACAGAAGCTTTTCTTCCACGCAGAAACGATTCAAGGTTAAGTTATTCGGCCAATCGTGGTAACGGACGTATGGTCGGTTCCATGTTTCTACGACGCCTGTTCGACTGCAACCTCGTGCTCGAACAAAGCGTTCTAATTAAAAATTGCAATTTACTGGCTGTTGAGGTAGTTAGAAAACACGAAGAGGAATGGAAGTTGTGGTCTTGGAAATCAACTGGACCCGAGATTCATAGCGCGACAAATTCGACGACGAGTTTCCGTCGTTTCGCGATCGAGAAACGAATCCTGCGGTAGACTGGTCGGCCGTTTGGCTCCACTGGCTGGTGCTTCTCATGTAAAGCAACTGTTCGTCTACCTCTCTTACCCGGCGGGGCAACCATCCTCTGCCATTTCTGGAACAAGGTCGTCTTCAAGCAATCCCGTGGTGACAACGCGTAAGCCTTGTGCCTCGACATTAGCTCCTGCATTGGTTCCAAGATCACGCATAACTGCAAAACAAAAGCGAAACGAGCAAAATTACTAATCGTCCGAGTCGGTTGATACGAAAAACGAGAAGGCGAGTCGACATATTTTATCGGAACAGAATCGTGACAAAACGATATTCATCCAAAGGTAAACGAAAATAGTCGGCGGAGAAACGAAATAAATGCGAGAGCGTTATTTAATCCGACGCGACTTCGACAGGGAACTTATGCGAGCTATTAATATGAAAATTATCGTATACATCGTGTATAGCACGGTTGAAAATAAACTTCCTAAAATATATTTGCACGGTGCGTAGCGCACACGCGAGTACTGCGAGCAAATTAAATTTGGTTTATGTTTGCCGTGATAAAACTGAAATCCATTTTACATTATTATCGTGAGCGCGTAATTTCCTGTCTGCCTTTATATCATAATGACGACAATTAAAATAATCGATAACACTCGCCGATCGGACGATGCGCTTCAAATTTATTTCAAATCGCGAATTAATTGGACGAAAAGAAACTTCGTTCATAGACTGTTTCTAAATTCCTCGACAACCGGACGTAGGTGTATTTTCTCTGACAGCTTTCGATCAACGACACAACAATCGTTTCAGCGAGCAGAGAGCAACGATACGCGCGAGTGAAAGCGCTTCCGAGCGTGCAAAGAAGGTGGATCGTAACCCGGATATACTCGCTCGTACTTTCGCGAGACGATCTCTTCTTGGCCCATTTTTAGCCCTTTGCAAATTTGCATTTCTTCTCGAATTTCGCGTATTTCGACGTCGTCGTACCATCACCGCGTAATTACTCTGTTCCACGTTCGAGTATCGCGTTTTCCTTAGAACGCGGGAACTCGTAAAGACAACAACAAAGTTGACACTGTCGCCAGGGAGGAGTCAAGTTATACGTACCCTAAGGTAATTCAGGGTAGAATTGGTGATGCCCTGCCTGGTAATGTTTTTGCTAAGCTGCTCGAGCATCGTCGGGTCCTGTTGCATACCGACAACGGACCTAGGCACGAGCTCCTTGTGCGTTCTCACAGACATATGCCACGACTTTATCCTCATAAGGTCGTCAAACGTGAATTCCAATATTAATCTACCCTCCGTGCATACCTGTGGAACAAACACGGGGTTAAACAACGTATCCACAATAAACTCGTCTCTCCTAACTCACGAGATTAACTCGAGGATTTTAATTCAGATTTAAGGTTTGCTCGATTAAACAGAGAATATCGTTGACAGCTGAGAAGTCGGATAGAAGAATCGCTTTGATGTTCTGCACCGGATTTGGTTAATCACGAAATGGTGTCCTTATGTTCGAGAAACAGCGGATTAAATCTTCTCAGTCCTCAACAGAATTCGTCGCTAATTGAACGATCGAAAAACAAGTACCTTCGTGAACATTGGCTTTCCGTGATGCGTGACCATTACGCAGTGATCACAGTCAAGGGTTATGGTGGTATTATGAAATGACTCCTTGGGGTGCTTCAAATTGTAGTAAAGTTCCGTCACTCCGCCCTCGAATATCGAACGGAAGTACCTAGGTATTAACGTCCTACCTATCGCTGCAAGAACAAACAAACAATTCGTTAAAATCGACGAATTAACCCTTGTGTGGGTTTCGTACACGCAAGTTGACTCTGTCCGGCTGAAAATTACTCTAGAGAAGTTTATCGATTAAAGAATCAAACGACGAATAAAAGTTATAATTCGAAGTCCTCGTGAACTTGAATTTTAGAACGCCGAGGGTTTTATTCGGGAATTAAACATTTCTTAAGCTTTTTCTTTAATTTCTGGTAAGTATCACGACGCGAGAAAGAAAGTAGAACGCGAGGTATTTCAGCGGAAAATTCCGTGAAAAGCTGTTGGAACTCGGCGGCTGACACTTACTGTATCTCTTGGGACCATCTTCCAAGCAAAACGTGAGGGTTAAGGTTGCGTCGTCCTCGAAGAATTCCGTCGCGAATGCGTCCCACCAGAGATTGTCGCTCTCCTGTAACAAAAAATCAAACGGGAACTTTGTAGCATCCAACATTTCCGGGCAAACGATACGCCATCGACTCGAGTTCGATAACATCGTTATTGACTAAGGTAAGCAGAACTCGACTCGCGTTACGCGACTTCCGTCGCAATTTTTCCATCCAAGTCCGCCAAGACAAAATTTGTTATCGTTCGCGCGCCAACCTCGGGCGTGAATTATACGCGACGAAAAGCCATGATCGACAGCTATCGAGAACGTGAAAGCGTCAGAAACAACGTTATGACGGGGCCCGTACAACTATGTCCCTTGAACATATTCGTGTTACTCTACATATATATTGACGCGTTCGTCGCGGCATGAATATTTATAGCGCCGATACGGAACGCTTGAAATTTTTACGTCGTAACCTCGTGAAAAATCGACCGACTATGGACACGCAGTCGGTGTTTCGTTTTTCAACTATTACGCTTCGCGCGAATAAGACTACGCAAACACGTGGGCTGTCCAGATAGTCGATTAAAGAAACAGGGATCGCAGTTTTATAGACTTCGTATCGAACGCGACTATGTACACTCGTGGACTTTGTCGAGAGGAAACTTCAAGGAAAAAGTATGCCACGCGCTATCCTGGTTAAGTTTAGAATCTCTAGTTCCGAGATTAATAATTATTACCGATAGCGAAACAGAAAAGGTTGGATGTCGTGACAGATTGGCGAGGACATTTGTCGCGGCATTAAATGTCGCGATTTATCGTCGGGCAGAAACGTAGCCTAAGGGTTGCGGGCGAAGAAAAGACGTCGGAGGCCACGCGCGGGAAAATAATAATAAGAGCGAAGGGAGAGGTTAGCGTGGGTGAAGCTGGATGCATAATTGAATGAAAGCGCAGCGAACAAGCGCGGCCAAGAGCCAAGGGGTAGTTCCTGCGACTGAGAGGGGGCGAAATGCTATAATTTCAAGCCAGACAGTCATGCGTTATTCAGCGACGACCATAGACCGCCTCTGTCTTCGCCTGGTCCTCTTCGTCCTTTGCTCGCGACCCTCTTCCGCGTCTCCTTTTCATCCCGTACTTTCGCGTCTTCGAAGCCGTCCAGTAATTATCCCGGATTCTCGGTAATCGGTCTCGAAACTCGCGACAAACTCCGATCGGTTTTATAGAGAGACAGAAGCGCGTGGCCAGCAGAGATTTATTTCGGCCGCGTAAGCCGCGCCGTGCCAAATCAAGCAAACTGTTGCCACTCTCGCGCAAATTGATATTTCTGGCAAGCGTACAGCTCCGAGGTGGAAGCCGGCAAAGGGGAAGAAACACCGGGAGTCGATCGGGATCGAGAAATAGACGAGGATCGAACGCGGGAGGAAGGAACCCGCTGAGCACGGAAGACGAATGCCAAACGTTAAGTAATATCTCGAGCACGCTTCGCGAGAAGTTTCAACGAGATGAACGCTGATCGCGAGCGGAGAGAGTATACAGTCGTTCCGAGAACTACTCGAGTTTCTAGATTTCTTCGCGGGATTGGCCTGTTCGTTCAGAAGAAATTCGGTTCACGGTCATTCACCTGTTAATACTTTCGCGAAAATGGTTAACGGCTTGTTCACCGCCTTTAAACCTCGAATAATCGACAACTTTTCTACTTCCTGCTTTTCAATTTTTCTTTTCAAAACTTTTATTGTTTCATGAAAATTCCAGATAAAGACATTTGCACTGACTACGATAACGAACGTCTTCATGAACACTGTTGCTTTATATGTTATACTGATGTTAAGCTCGAACGATCATTCTACTCTTTCCAATTTCGCTTGCAGTCGATCGAAACGAAGATGCAAAGTCTTCGACCTCTTATCATAAATTTATTAATTACGATGTAAAATAATTCCGCAAAATATGATAGCCATGACAAGCAGGACAAAGGGTCAAATTTGGTCGAACCCAATGACGTCGTCCATAGTTATTATTTCCGTGATTGGTGTTGTATTAATCAAAATTACGCGCGTCACATTTATTCCCAATACTCCGTCTTTATCATTGCTATTACCGTTCAGAAATTCCTAGTACCGTGGTACCTGTAATTTAGTACGTAATTATCGTTAACCTTCGCGATGACGGTGACCTACAAAAATATTAGCTCGGAGGATCGTCGCGTAATTTATATCGCGAACGTGAGTACATGGAGAAAAGAATCTCTCGTTAATATGCAATTTTCGACTCATCTTCGTAGACCCGTATCATTCTCGCGTTTCTTCATTGTCGTTATGTAAAACCGGCGAACGACTTTGTAGCGCAAAACTTTCCAAACTTTTAATCAAACTAGCGCGCTTCTAAGACACAAACTCTAGGGATCGATACCACTGTAGTACAAATCACGAAAACAACTGTCGACTGTGAACTCTTCTAGGCACGCACCTTCGTCGAATCTATTTTTTAACGCGGTGAATTATTGGAAATAATTAAACGAATGGTCGAGGTGTCGATCACCTTACGGAACATACTCGAATTACGTTAGCCCGTGACAAAGCTCTCGATTTCTCGAATCACGTACGAGTCCATGTAGAGCCGATAAAAAAAAGAAATCGGCGCGGCGATCGCCAGGGAAAAGCGCGAACGACAACGCGCAAGAAATTCAATCTCGATTCTCTGCGACGCGAGACGGGTAGGAAAAAAAGGGAAAAAAGGGAGGAAAATCCGTCGCGGCGCCGGAGACACACAAATCATCGCTGATTTCCACGATGTGCCCGGACAAAGCGGCGAAATACGCGCTCTTTCGGCCGGCGTATTAGCCGGAGTTAAATTCAATTTGTTCGGGCCGAAGTAGTCCTGCCACAGACTGTATGTACATGTACACGCGAGAGACAGAGAGAGGAAAAGCGGAAAAATCCAGGACTTGCATCGTAATAAGTGGAGCCGAGGGCAGAGACGGACGAGTCGAAAATTCAAACAAAATAGAAGATAAATTAGAATACGATAAAACTTCTGCTTCATACCGGTAATAGAAGATTCTCTTTTTTTCTCTCGATCGTTGGCTCGTTTTCAGATGTTAAGGGTGGAATCGTGCCATCTTTTCCTCGACTAACGTCTTGGAACGAAGGAAGAATATAAAAGGATCGTTGAAACAAGAGTTTAATGATTTTATTAGGTTCGATAGAACGTGTAAGAACGTGTATAGGTGTGCACGGTTTCGAGGGTGGTGGTAGAGCTGATCGAATCGTTGGAATCTATCTAAAGACTGATCGATAATCATACACGGCCCTCTAATTTGATGCGCACAGAAGTCTGCACCTAAGTTTTCGAGGTACCGGCCACTCTTCTGGAACAATATACCCTTTTCTACGAAAAAGGCTTTCGAAATGAAATTACAGTGTAAACATAGAAGCTGGTCGATATTCAAAAATACGAGAAGGATCTTCCTTCGAGGGAAAGAAGAAGAAATATAAACGAGGAATTATTGAACGGAGCGACGATGTTTCTTCGGGAGTTGAAATTACACCGGAAAATAGAAGCTGATATTTTCGAGACATCAAGAGGGAATGGAAATTAAAAATCATTAGAAACTGAAAATAGTTGGACGATTAGAGATGGAAGTGTATTTTCGAGGAAACTATTGAACGAACAGAAGAAAAAGATTAAATAATAAAGGTGATTCGACGTTTATGAAATATCGCTTGAATTTTCCAATGTTTCTTCTTAGAAGAACAAGAGGGACACAGGTAGAAAACTAAGCCAAAAAACGAGATCATAAAAAAGAAAAAGAAGAAACACAATGGCAGGAGAGTCGTCAGCATCGTCGTGTGCTCGAGCCTCCCCGATTCCGGTTCGATTCCAGCGACAGAAAAGGAAAAAACGAGACGAAGAACCCGGCATATTTTCAACGTTAGCAGGTACTACCAACGTTCCACTCCGAAACTACTTTTTCGCGACGAATAAATATTTCTTCTGTCATCGATCCTCCGATCCATCTCTCGCCGAGCGTGTCTCGTCTTCGTCACCTGCTGGTTACGTCGAAAAAAAGAAACCACGCAATTTCTACGGGAGATCGAACAAGAATCGATGCTTCGTTTCCGATTTAATTACGATAATTCGAGAGAAAAAAATAAGACAATTCCATGAAAAACTAAGCCCGAACCGTGTCTCGTTTTCTTCTTCGTAGCTGCTGCATCGATCCTCGAAAAAAAGAAAGCAAACAAAAAGACGAAGAACAACAAAAGGACTTAAAAAACACGAGAGAAAAATGTATTATCAGAATTGTTCCCGGTCCTCGTCCTAGAAACGATTCACCGCCAATAATTTCATCCCTCTTCCTGTCCTTATCAACCCTCTCTTTCTTTCATTCCTCTCTGCAACTGCATTTTTTTCCCTTCCATTTTTCACCCTGGCTGGGCGACGGTCTTTGTGCAGGCTGTACCAGAGCCGGGGTTGCCGTCGGCTTTTCACCACGACTGTACCACCCTACTGTTGTTAGGGGGGTGTGGGGAGACTAGGGGTGGTATATGATCGTGTATATACGCCGGCGAGAAAGTATTGTCGCTGCGCTCCACCTCTCGATTTTCTTACGAAAATCATTTCGATCCCGTTAATCATCACGCACCGGGGTAATTAGTATATCGAAAATTCGAGAAAATTCCGCTCGACACGACCATCATTTTTCAGAAATTTTCGTAGATCGCAAGGGTGGCGGATAGCAAGGAAGAGATTTCTCTCTGGACAGTCGAGCCGGGACAAAACTGTTCCGGCCGATCGGAGTATATACGGCCAGGGGCGGCGGCGAGAGGGGCGAGCCTGGGTGGGAGAACCAGGGGTTGGGGGGTACAATATGGGTTATCGAGGGGGCCCCACCCCCGGGGGAGAGCAGGGGCCCTCATTTTATTACCCAGGCTCCCATAGAGGTTCTCAACCGACCCTTACGCTTCTGTTTCCTCTACTTTCTCGTTCCGTCACTCCTCTACCACGCTGTCTACCATATTCCTTCCGATATTTTACAATTTTAACAACAATCTTCCTTCTATTTTACCCGCTCTTCAAGC